CAGTCAACCCTCTCCTCCTCCCCCCCCCCTCCTCGTCCTGCCCATCCCCGATCTTGCCCCTCCCCGCTCTCCCTGTAAGCCGTACGCTGATGGCACGAGTGCCACGATCGGGGGCGCTGACGCTGCCCTCCCCCTCCCCCACCCTTGCCCCTCCTCCCCCCCCCCCCTTCCTTGAGAGCGGGGGACTCTGGAGTCCCTCGGGGTCGAGGGCGCGCGCGCGAGGCCTTCTCACAAACTGCGCGCGTGCGTCTGTGAATGATCTGCGTGCTTTGCGTATTATCTGCGTTCTCTTTGGCGTGTTTTTCTTCCTCCTCCTTCTCCTCCTCCTCCTCCTCCTCCTCCTCCTCCTCCTCCTCCTCCTCCCCTCCTCCCCCACCTCTTCCTCCTCCTCCCCGAAAGAACCCATGCGTTGTTGTTGTTTGCGTGCTCCAACCCCCCCCAAAAAAGGGCGATGTTGTTGGGAGGGTGGCGGTGGTAACGGGGGGAGAATCCGCTGTGGTGCTTTCGGGTGAAGTCCCTTTGTGCGGATTCCGGATACCTCTCGTTGGGGTGCGTTCCAAATCATTCCTTGTGACAAGCGTTCCAACATAATCCCCTATGTGGCATTTTCCAAAGGACTCCTGTTGCGAGGATGTCCGCTAGACTCCCCGTTGTGCCGCTTCCTAAAGGATTCTCACCGTGCCTGTTTCCAATAAGATGCCGCTGTGGTGTTTTCAAAATGATTCCTTTCTGTGACCTTGTCCCATAGAATATGTCCGTGGTGCTTCCCAACGGATTCCGATTGTCAGGATTTCCTATTTAATCTCGTTGTGGTGCTTTCCACCGGGTTCCTTGTGTGATGCTTCCCTGTGGGATCTCCTTGTGGTGCTTTCCAAAATATGATGCTTTCCGATAGAATCCCTCTGCGGCGCGTCCCAACATATTCCTGCTGTGAAGATTTCCCGTGTAATCCTCTTGTGGCGCGTTCCACAAGATCCTTGTTGCGTGGCTTTCCAATAGAATGTGTGTGGTGCCTTCCGGGGGAGTCCTGCCGCGAGGAATTCCCATAGAACCCCTTCTGCGGCGCTATGCAAAGGATTCCTGCCGCAAGGCGTCCCAATTGAATCCCTCTGTGATTCTTTGCGATGGATTCTCCACTGTGCGGCTTTCAAGTGAGAGCCCTGCTTGGCGCTTTCAAACAAGCTTTCCGATGTGAGGCTTTCCGACATAATCTCTCTGCTGCGCTTCCCAAAAGATCTCACTGTGACGGTTCCCATAAAATGCCGTTGTGGTTCGTTCCAAAGGAGTCCCGTTGCGAGGCTTTCCAACATAATCTCTGCGTGGTGCTTCCCAACGGATTCCGATTACGAGGCTTTCCAATGGAAACTTGTCGTGTTACTTTCCAAACGATTTCTTGAAACAGGATCTCCTTGAGGCGCTTCCTAAAAGATTCCTGTTGTGATGCTGTTCGATAGGAAACCGTTTGCGGCGCGCCCAAAAGGATTCCCACTATAAGGGTTTCAGGACGAATCATTGTGCAGTCCTTTTTTAGGGTCTTTAATGTGAGGCCTTCCTGTAGAATCGCTGTGATGCTTTCCAACACAGTCCTGTCGTGAGGCTTTCCAATATAATCCCTCTGCGGCGCTCTCCAAAGGATTCCTGTTGTGACGGGTCCCGGTTGAATCCCCCTGTGGTATTTTCCGATGGGTTCCTTTTTGTGCGGCTCTCCAATAGGAGCCCTCAGTTGTGTTTTCAAAGGGATGTACTGGCGCGATGCTCTCCAATGGAATCCCTGATTTCAAGTTCAATGGAATCCCTGTGCGGTGAATCCCAAATGATTCCCTGTGGCACGTTCCACACGAAGACCGTCGTGGCGTTTTCCGAAAAGGATTCCTCTTGTAATGCTTTCCAGTAGGAACCCTTCGTGCTGCTTTCCAAAGGATCCCCCTTTGTGGGCTTCCCGTATAATCCCTGTGTGGCGTGTTCCAAAGGATTCCCGTTGCGAGGCGCTCCGATCGAATATGTGTCGGTGCGTTGTTCAACGGATCTCTATTGCGAGGCCGTCTGATAAATCCTGGTAGGTTCCTTTTCCACAGGGTTCCAGTTGTTTGTTCCCAGAGAATCCTTCTGGGGCGCTTTTCCAACCGATAACAACTATGACTGCCTCTACCAGAGTGCGCGTTGTTAGACAGCGCTTTCCAAAGGGAGCCCTGTTGTGAACCCATACGATAGAACTCCTGTGTAGCACTTCGCACAGCGTTGCAAGTCTGAGGCGTGTCCTCTTGTGATGCTTCCCAAAAGAAACCCTCAACATGTGCATTATAAACGGGTTCGTTTACTACGGTTTCCAATCGAATCCTTGTGCGTAATGGTTCCGAGCAGATTCCTGTTGCGAGGTCATAGACACCATGCGCGATGACTTTCGAAGGATTCCTGCTGCGGGCGCCCCAATACAACCTTGCTGTGTGCTGTCCAAAGAAGCTCTGGTGTGAAGCCTTCCGTTGCAGTATTTCAGACCCCTTTCCACCAGATTCCAGTTGTAAGGTTTCCCCCCAGTCCCTCGGGAGAGCTTTCCAAAGAAATGCAGATATGCCTGTGCCTAACAGGAGGTGTTTGTAGCTCTTTCCAAAGGATGACTGCTGTGAGGCCATCCAATGGAGTCCATGTGTAGCACTTCGCACAGAGTGCGAGGCTGTTCAATACAATCCCATTGTGGCGCTTTCCTCGTTGTGACGCTTTCCAAATGGTTCCTCTTGTGATGCTTTCCAATAGAAACCCTCAGCAGTGCTTTCCAAACGGCTCCGACTATGCGGCTTTCCAATGGAATCCCTTCTTAATGATTTCCAGCGGACTCCTTCCTGTTGCGCGGGCATAGGATATTTTTGCTTTGCTTGCCAAAGGGATGTGCTTGTGATGCATAGAATGTGTATAAATGAGAGAGAGAGAACCAAAAAAAAAAAGGAAGAAAGAGAAATATGAAATATAAGGGTAATGATGAAGCTAAGGCTGAACGCTAGTAAAAACTCATCTCGAACACCGAGATACTCCACAATCCCCCCCGCCTCGAATCCTCGACCTCCTGCCCCTCCTCCTCCTCCTCCTCCTCATCCTCCTCTTCCTACTCCTCCACCTCCTTCTCCTCCTTCTCCTCCTCCTCCTCCTCCTCCTCCCCGTCCCCTTTCTCCTCCCCCTCCTTCTCCTTCCCGTCCCATTCCTCCTCCTCCTCCTCCTCCTCCTCCACCTCCCAAACCCATCCCCTCCTCCTCGTCCTCCTCCTCCTCTCCTCCTCCTCCTCCTCCTCCTCCCTCTCCTCTCCTCTCCTCCTCCCCTCCCTCCTCCTCCTCCTCCTCCTCCTCCCTCCTCCTCCTCTCTCCTCCTCTCCTCCTCCTCCTCCTCCTCCTCCTCCTCCTCCTTCTTCACCTCCCTCCTCCTCTCTCCTGCTCCTTCTCCCTCTCCTGCTCCTCCTCCTCCTCCTCCTCCTCCTCCTCCTCCTCCTCCTTATGTTCCTCCTCTCCTTCCGCCCTCCCCCTCTACCTCCTCCTCCGGCCCCTTCCATCCCTCTCCCTTAGAAACAACTCCTCCCTGCCGCACCCCGAAGCGCGTCGGCAAGGTCGGCCGGGCGTTTCGCATGAGACTTCCCACCACTTATGCTCCTGAAACTGAAGAGGTGAAACCGTTTCTCGGATGGAGGGCGGGCCGCTTTCAAAATGCGGCTCCCGCCTTAGCGCCGCGCACAGACGTTCTCCACTCGTGCAAAGAGATTCACGGATCGCCATTAGAATTGCAAGAGTTTGGCGAATGGAAAGCAGTTCATTTTCGACATGTCGCTCTCGCTTCAGCGCTGCGCGCATTCGTCTGAAACAACTGCAAGTGTGTTCCGGATGGAGGGCGATTACTTTTCAATGTATAGCTCTCGCCTTAGCGCCGCGCAAATACGTTTTCAGAGTTTACAACAATCTCCAAGACTCTCGTGGGTAACGTTCCAGACATGGTGTTATGACACGATGTCGGACTGTCATCTTCCAGCGTGACACTTCTCTCAATGAAAATTTAACACTACAGGGACCCATGAAGAGGGAGCTTGGTGGGAGGGCTGATTACAATATCGCTAATGGGTGTTAGGTTTATACTGGTCCTCTTCCTCCTCCACCCCTTGAGAAGGGATAGATCGTCCCGGCATTCCTATGTGCCTACCTTGAAATGCTCTTAGAACCCAGCGAAAGTGATCTACAACATGAGAAACAGTGCTCTTAGAACTGACGCCCGATGACTTAAAACAAGACTATCTCAGCCAGAAGCGTACGAAATTGGAGTACCATGTGGGACCTGTAGAACAGGAACATACCGTAGACGGGTCTACCCCTTCTCCGACCTTGCACCGCGCCGTACGCAACGGCCCCAATGTCCATAGACGTATCCACCCCGAAGGTGCCTATGGACGTCAAGGCACCCAATCTGTCAATGGACGCTTTGGTCGGGGATCTTCTGACCCGGGTCTATCCAGACCAGGGTCAGCAGGAAACCAAAAACTGCAATGCAAGAACAAAAAACTGCAACGCAGGTCTTCGCAAACCCGGGTCAGCCAATAGGCGCGGCCGCCTCGCGGCCACGAGCGGTTCGCTAACCCGGGTCAGCCAGAGGGGTCTTCGCAGGATACTACAGGACCCGGCGCCCTGGCTGACCCCCGTCTGCACTGACCCCCGTCTCGAGGCTCCCGATTTGGGATAGGACATTTGACACGGGCCCCAGATGTTGGCCTTACAGAGGGAAACGTGTCGCGCAGGCCACAGCAAGCTCGTAGAACACTCTCCTGTGGGGCTACAGGCAAGCCGGGACGCTTCGCTGCTGCCCGACTCTCCTGCCCCTACTACTTCACTCCCACTGAGGCGGACCCTAGTGTCTATGTCGTGCATTAAGAGAGCGCGCGGGCCTGGTAGTGGAGCTGCTTCAGAAGAACTCTCCTGCCCCTCCGCTTCCTCCTGCTCCGTTTCCTCCTCCCCCTGGCCGCACGGGGCGGGCGCCTCGTACGGGACTTTCAGGCTCGCGTAGAGCTGGCGCGCGCGCGGCGCGGCGCGCCCGCGGACAGGGCATACGCCGTGGCCTCCCACGACGAAATGACGGCTTCCGAGCGGTGCTCAAAGAGCTCTCGGCGGGCCTCGAAAGCTTTCGAGGGTGGTCACAAGGCTCGCGAAGGACTTGACAAGGCTGCCTCTACCCCCTTCCTCGTACTCGTCGTCGTCGTCCTCGTCGTCGTCCTTCTCGTCGTCGTCGTTCTTCTCGTCGTCGTCGTCCTCGTGGTCGTCGTCGTCGTCTCGCCGTCGTCGTCCTCGTCGTCGTCTTCGTCGTTGTCGTCCTCGTGGTCGTAGTCGTCCCCGTCGTCGTCGCCGTCGTTCTCGTGTTAAGTCGGGCGTGTCCCCCTACAGGCGGATTTTGGTCGACAAGTAGCTCGTACTCAAACATACAAAAAATAGCCACTAATCCTAGAAACATCGCCCACATACTACTTTGAACTGTTTTTGAATATTCCTCCTGTGGAGGGACAGGCCCGGCTAAATCCTCGTGGTCGTCCTCGTCGTCGACGGCGTCGTCGCCGTCGCCGTCGTCCTCGTCCTCGTCCTCAACCTCGTCGTCGTCGTCGGCGTCCTCGTGGTCGACGTCGTCGTCGCCATCGTCGTCGTCGTCCTCGTGGTCGTCGTCCTCGTGGTCGTGGTCGTCGTCGCAGTTCTCGTCGTCGTCGTTGTCGTCGTCCTCGTGGTCGCCGTCGTCGTCGTCGTCGTCGTCGTCGTCGTCCTTGTGGTCGTCTCCGTCGCCGTCGCTGTCGTCGTCGTCGTCGTCGTCGTCGTTGTCGCCGCCGTCGTCGTCGTCGCTGTCGTCCCCGTGGTCGTCGTCGTCGTCGCCGTGGGCGTCGTCGGCGTCGTCTTCGTCGTCGCCGTTGTCGTCGTCGTCGTCAATCAAGGTCGCCCTCGTCGTCGTCGCCGTCGTCGTCACCGTCGTCGTCATCGTCGCCGTCGTCGACGTCGTCGACGTCGTCGTCGTCGCCGTCGTCGTCGTCGTCATCGTCGGCATCGTCGTCGTGGTCGTCGAAGTCGTCGTCGTCGCCATGGCCGTCGTTGTCGCCGTCTCCGTCGTCGTCCTCGTCGTCGTCGTCGGTGTCGTCGTCGTCGTCGGCGTCGCCGTCGTCGTCGTCGTCGTCGCCGTCGTCGTCGCCGTCGTGGTCAACGTCGTCCTCGTGGTCGTCGTCGTCGTCGCCTTCGTCGTCGTCGTCGTCCTCGTGGTCGCCGTCGTCGTCGCCATCGTCGTCGTCGTCCTCGTGGTCGTCGCCGTCATCGTCATCGTGGATCGTCGTCGTCGTCGCCGTTGTCGACGTCGTCTTCCTCGTGGTCGTCGTCGTCGTCCTCGTGGTCATCGTCGTCGTCCTCGTCGTCGTCGTCGTCGCCGTCGTCGTCATCGTCGTCGCCGTGGGCGATGTCGTCGTCACCATCGTCGTCGCCGTCGTCGTCCTCGTCGTCGCCGTCGTCGTCGTATTGGTCGCCGTCCTCGTCGTCGTCGTCGTCGCCGCCGCCGTCGTCGTCGCCGTAGTCGTCCTCGTACTAGTGGTCGTCGTTGTCGTCCTCGTCCTCGTGATCTTCGTCGGTGTCGTCGTTGCCGCCGTCGTCGTCGTCGTCCTCGTCGTCGTCGACGTCCTCGTGTTCGTCGTCGCCGTCGCCGTCGTCGTCGTCTTCGTGGTGGTCGTCGCCGTCGTCGTCGTCGCCGTCGTCGTCGTCGTCGTCGTCGTCTTTGTCCTCGTCGTCGTTGTCGTCATCGTCGTCGTCGTCCTCATGGTCCTCGTCGTCGTCGTCGCCGTCGTCGTCGTCGTCTCGTCGTCGTCGTCGTCGTCGTCGTCATCGTCGTCGCCGTCGTCGTCGCCGCCGTCGTCGTCGTCGTCGTCATCGTCGCCGTCGTCGCCGTCGTCGTCATCGTCGTCGTTGTCGTCGTCCGCGTGGTCGTCGTCATCGTCGTCCTCGAGGGTCGTCGTCGTCGTCGCCGTCGTCGTCGTTCTCGTGGTTGTCGTCGTCGTTGCCTGTCGTCTCTGCCACGACGCATGGAGACTGCTGCGCCGCAAGAGCCCTGCCGGCCACGGGGGGGGGACTGGGGGCCTGGGACCGAGTCAAAATCTAGGGAAAAAGGAGGAAAATGGGCAGGAGGAGGAGGGGGTGGAGGAGGGGGTGGAGGAGGGGGAGGAGGGGGAGGATGAGCAGGAGGAGGAGGAGGAGGAGGAGGAGGAGGACGAGGAAACGGAGGAGGAGGAGGAGCAGGAGGAGGAGGAGGAGGAGGAGGATGAGGAGGAGGAGGAGGACGAGGCGCCCCTCTTGTCCTCAGGGGCTGCCACCCTCTGTGGACCTCCTCGGCCCGACCCCGCTCACACCCTATTGCCCCCGCCCTCCTCGTGGCCGTCCACCCCGTCTTGGGCCCCTTTCCTGTCGCGGTTCCCAAGCCGCAACGACCACGAAACCGAGGACGAGGGCGAGGACTGTTACCACAACTGGTTCCCAGACATCTTTCTGCTCCCTGATTGCCCGCTTTGATTCACTGTGTGTGTGTGTGTGTGTCTGTCTGTCTATTCGTCCTTTTTCCCGTCAGCTCTCATGGGCAAGATTTCTGAAGGGGCTGGTGGGGATACGCGAAGCGTGAAGAATTGTCACCATACGTTGAACGCGGATGACTGCGAGTCGGCGCGCAAGGAAAAACGTCCAGCTTGCTGAGTGGCTCAGGCGACTTCCTGAAATCGCGTAGTAGGCGCCGCGCGAGCGAGGTGAGAAAACCAAGCCGGCAAGTGCGACGGGATCGGGGGCGTGGAGGGCCAGCCGACACAGCCGGAGTCAAGAAATTACCTTATTTTCCCCAGGTAACGGCCGTTACCCAGGGGGGGGGGCGGGAGGGTAACTACAACGACGGCCACAGCGTGCATCCGCCAAGGTGCGTCCACGCCACTGGCGCATCAATCGCCCGTGCACACGACAATGCCAATGCCTGCGTGCAACACAACGGCACATGGGTAAAAATCACAATGCCTCCGTACACCACAACAATCGCGTGCTCTGCAGCACCGCGTCGTTGCCGCACACCGCAGTGCCTGTGTTAACGGCAGCAACAGCTGCTTGTAATTGGTTATGATACGACGATTGGAAAAACAATGGAAAATGGAGCGCCTGTGGACTCCAGAAACCCCTTATTCTTATATAGAATTTGAAAAAGAATCGCTATGGAAAGCGGAGCACCTTGAATTTGAAAAAGAATCCCATAGAAATTACGGCGCCTCTGGACCCCACTGAACACGAAGGTTTTCCATACACGTTTTGAAAAAATCACTTTGGAAATTGGAGCGCCTGAAGGTTCTACACCCGTGCACCACAATGCCCGCCTGTGTACACCACAGCAGCCGCGTGCAACACAGCGTCGGTGTACACCACAAGGCCTGCGTGCACCACAGCGCTTGCGTACACCACATCGCCTGTGTACACCGCAACAACCGTGTGCAACGCAGCGCCGATATGCACCACGCTGCCAGCGTGAACCACAACGCCTGCGCACACCACAGCGCCCGCGGGAAAAGGCGCGGGGCCGCCCAATCATCATCTTCTCCAAGGCGCTGGGTCGACACTCGACACGTGCATTAAGGACGGATGGTAAGGACGCAAGACCCTCGGAAGCCGAAGGTGGATGTCTGTTGCAAACACTGGCCAATGAAAACGGCAAAATACAGGCCGCAGAGGCACGGACACAAGGATACCATGGAGAAGGCGCACAGCCTTATTTGGTGCGTTGACTATATCGCACTGCAACCAACCGAGCACCGGCCAGAATAAAAAGAGAGAGCCACCGCATTTTGCACGTGTGGAAGAGTGGTCGAACCAGCCTGCGGCAGCTGGGCCATGGACGATGACGACGAAGACGCCGACGCCGACGCCGACGTCCACTGCAGCTGCGCCAGCTGCATTGGACGACAACGACGAAGACGACGACGACGACGACGACGACGACGACGACGGCGACGGCGACGGCGACGGCGACGGCGACGGCGACAGCTACGACGACGACGACGACGACTGCAAGCGCCACAACACGCTTGTGTGCACCACTGCGTGCCGTTCAGACCACGCCATGCCTGTGAGCACAGCACCATACCTGCGGGGGGTCCGCTCCCAGCTTGGGGGGGGGGGCCATGCCCCCCTTCCCCCGCGGCACGATCGCTAGCATTACCCAAGGGGGGGGGAAGGTTGGCCTGGGTAGCTAGCGTTACGTTACGCCGGAAAGGAACCAAAAAACACTCACGAGGAGAGCAAAAAGGGACGCAGAAACGGCAGGCGACGGCAGGTGCAACCGGGTCCCGAAAAGGAAAACCAGCCGACAGGGGCCCGCCGGAGCGGGGGTGGGGGGCTGGGGGATCGCGAAGAGAAGTGGGTAGAAGAAGAACAAATACAGCATAAACATTAAATTTTGGCGCGCCGCGCGGATTTCTTGGATGCTGGACCCCCCTCCATGACGCGCGGAGCGCGCCAGGGGCGGCGCCGGAGGCGCCGCCGGGGGGGCCCCAGCGCCAAAAGTTATGCTGATGGCATTTTTTCGTTTCTTCCTCCTCCTCTTCGAGTGGAGCGAGGGGGTGGCCACTGCGAGCCCGCGGCCGCCGCACCCAGCACGCCCGCGCGAGAACGGCGCAGCGGCCACATGATTCAACCTGCTTCGGGGTCTGCGCAGGCCCGCCGAGCCTGAACCGCAGCACGAGCGACGATCTCTCGCTGGCCAGGGCTCTTGCCGCCGAGCGGCCTCGCAGTCCGAAGGGCTGGAGGAGCAGCGGGAAGCTCCATGCGGCCAGGGGGGGGGCTGATGAGCGTCGGGCACAGCGCTTGCCTGCGCCAGCTCTGGCACTCCCTCGGAATTCCGCCCCGGAGCACCGAGGACGTCCTAGCGCGGGTGGACGGAAAGAGACGCACAGCAGAAGCGAATAACACTGGCATGGCTGGGAGGGGTGCTCGCCTCCTGGGAGTTCCTTGAGGCAGAAGGAAGGAGCATCAGAGCGCCGGATCCCTGAACAGTGTCTGATTGTACTGCCACGCGCGCGCCCTGAGTTCGCGGAGCACCGAGACGACACGGATGAACACGCGCACGCACTGGAAGACGAGCTCCACGAAAAACAGGGCTGACAATAGCAACCTCCCAGAACAAAACGCATGCGAAATATCACTGCGCAAACAAGAAACATATACCACCGCCCGTGAGCCACACATTAAAAAGTAAACAAATACCAACCACCTCGACTAGCAAGACGAAACTGTGAAAAGCACTGACCACAGGTGGCCCCGACCCCAACACACGAAGACCACCACGCGAACGAACGTGGGCAAACTGAAATGGTACTGGACGGGGACTGGACATGCCGGCATGCGCTTCATACCGTATGGGCAGCCCTCGAGCGCAATGCGTAAAACCATACCCAGCAAGGAAAAAGTCGTGTACTCAACGAGTTCGCCCAATCTCGCCATCCGACTGCTGCTGCAAAGGCACAGCTACGGCAGGAATCGGAATCCCAAAAGCACCACGTGAAAGCACTGGACCCGGGCCGGGGGCCATCGCAAAGCCAAAATGGTCACGGACTGGAACAGGAAGAAAGAGGAGACAGGAAGATAAGAAATGAGGAATACTGATACGTAGGAATGATGACGATGAGGAGGAGGCAAAAATAGGAGTGGGAATGGGGATCGGGTAGGGCGGACCAGGTCCGCCTGCCGACACATCGGCGGCACGGAGGCTTAATCGCCTACGAGTGGCCACGACACCGTGGCCTGGGCCTCACGCTTAGCGCGCCTGCGTTCCCTGGCCCATTCAACCGCAGAATCGGGCGAAACAAAACCATGCAGGCGCGCAACTTGAGCCAGGCCCAGGACGGGGACAGACACCCCGCACTGGTGGAACCTGGCGGGGCCCCAGGTGCCATCGGCCGCGGGATCCACAGGGGGCCCGCCAGCGGGCCCCGACGCGACGGACTAGCCGCCGAGGACCCAACACCCAAGCTGGACCCCATCAGCTCCCAGCTTCCCCCTGCAGCCACTCGATATCAGCCTCCTCTTCCCCCTCCCCCTCCCCCCCGCCGGGCACCTTGTAAATTATGCGACCGCCGACGCGCCGCCATTCCCGCTAAGCGGCGATAGCTGGCTGGCATTGTCTTCTTTCGCCCACGCGCTCCGGCGTATGGCACGAGTGAGTGAGCGAGCAGGCCTCTCAACGCAGACGGCCGAGGAGGAGCGGGGGCCGAGGGGTGGAGGAGCCGACGCAGGCGGGACCTCTGGGTCTTGAGCCCTGGGCGCCGAGGTCCCAGGCAGGTCCCAGCAAGGCCCGTTGCCAGGGGAAGCTCTCTGGGCCGGTGAGGCCCCACAGGACCTGCAGAAGAACGAACACATGCTGTCAGGGCCCCCCACCTCGCATTTCACCACCGAGTGCTTACCAGCCTGGAACATATCCCTATCCCTATGCTGGGCATTTCCTCATCACGATGCCAATCTTAGGGATTCCCTCATTATTTGAGGGCGCATCCCTAAGATTGTCCCCGCCTTTTGGCGTGTCAATCTTAGGGATAGGGATAAATTCGAGGCTGGTAAAGCGCCCCTGAAACAGCCACGGCCTACCAAGCACGACCCGCACATCCACCCCACCTCCTCAGAAGGCTCGGGCTCGGCTCCAGCGGCGGTGGGGCGGGGGACGCTGACTTCCAGCCTAGAGAGCGGGTGGGGAGAAATGCGGAAGAATACGACTGACAAAAAGAGATGGAGAAGAGTCAGGAGGCGAAGGAGAATATGGATTAGAAGGAGAGAGGAAGAGAATAACAACAGCGGAGAGGAGTGAATACTATCACGAGGGGGAAGAGGAGGTATGAGGAGCACTGAGCAGTGAGGGAGATCAGCAGGGAGGAGAGAGGATCATGATGCAGGAAAGAGGAGGACCAAGAGGAGAGAGGAGTTATAGGAAGGCACAAGAAGAAAGAGTAAGGAGGACAATGAATGAACCAGATGAGGATCGCCTATACGATCAATGATGCGTACCACTGGTCCAGCTGAATTCTACCACACTTTGGGGCGAGGACTGATCACTAAACACACGAGCGACTGTTCGGCCTGCTAATCCCATCACCAATGTATATTGATACACGTAGCCACAACCTATGTGCACACACATCGCGGACATACAAGCATAGAAAGCACATACTCGAACCTACAATTGAGGCCAACAATGTACTTCTCTACTGGCTGATCATCCTCCTCTTCCTCCTCTCAATCCCCCCCTAACCCCAACTCCCTCATCATTCCCCTCTTTGTTTCACCTCCTCCTCCTCCTGCGCACTCCTCCCTTCCTAATCGCTTGCGCCGATTTCTCCTCCTGCTCAGTGCGGCTGAACGGAGACTACACGAGCTCCGCATGTACACCAGGCTATGGCCTCTGTTGAAGCGTCCTCTGACCCTTGCTACACTGGATGGCAAAAAGGCCAGCTGAACTCGAAGAGCTGACTCTCAAACTCTCCGAGCACATAGCCTCACATTCTCAGACTGTCGCTGGAGGCTAGAGAGCAGTGCGCCGGATCGCCTGGCGCGACCCGTTCCCCAAGGTTGGAGCAAACCTCGCGCGAAAACAAGGCAAGGCTGTGCGGGGCAGGACTCGTCGTTTCAGTACACGCCACGCACTTCACTGAACACGCATGTCTACTAGCGCGTGGGGAACAACACCAAACAACTTAACACCGTCAATGACTCCAGACCACCGTCATAAGCCAAACGTGGAAAACAATATGTTGGTCGTCATGCGGGAGCTTCTTCTCGATGGCAATTCTATGCCATTCTTCATGCTCGCGTTACTCACACTGCGCTGCGAATGACCGCTCCTGGAACCGCAAGCCCGCTCAGCAGAACTTCAAGAGTATGATACGATGACTCCCCGATGCGCATCTACGAATCCAGCGAACGTAGTGTCTGCCGGCCTCGGCCGAGGCGACTGCGCCAGGAAGTGCCCGCTCACTCCCGCTACGCCGCTGCTCTCCCTGGCGTACCAGTTGGACGAATGAGATTGGAGACGCAAAACCAATGAACAAACTCACCCAGACCCCTGACGAGAGGACATCGTGATCTGAAGCCCCGAGGGTATCGACCCCATCTGGCCCCAAAAAGAAATTCCGCCGAAGGTCCCAATGGCACGGTCCGCATGCGGCCCCCGCCCCCAACCCCAATTTCGGCATGCCCCTCACGAGCTTCGCGGCCCCATGGTGAAATCCACCGAAGACCATACTCACAGCCGCGGTGCTCGCGACTGCACACGAATGGGTCTCTCGCCAAGTTCACTCCCAACCATCCTGCGGTGCTGGGTCACCCCTTGGAAGCCGCAGCGCACGGCGTCCCCTCCCTGCCCCGTCGGTCCTACTGCCCCTGCTCCCTCCTGCCTCTGCCCTGGCGTACCCTCGCCACGCTTTGCAAGCCCCACGGGAGCTCCACGAAAGACCAACACGAAAAAATCTGCATGAAGTCGTGGGCTCCTTTCGCACGCCCCTTCCACGCCGCTCAGGCCCCACAGGAGCTGCACAGAAGGCAAGCATGAAGCAATCCGATTGCAGTCGTGGGTGAATGTCGCTCGCTCCTGCCACGATTTTCAGGCCCCAAGGGAGCTCCACGAAAGGCTGATATGACACAGTCGCCATGCAAGCGTGGGTTACTTTCGCTCGCCCGTCCCAGGCTTTGAAGCTCAGACCGAACTGAAACAACCCGCATGCAAGCGTGGGCTCATTACGATCGCCCCTGCCGCGCTTTTCAAGCCCCATGGGAGCTCCTCAGAAGGCCGAGCTAGAAAACGCGTATGCAGTCGTGGGCTGAGCTCATCATGTCGTTCGCCATGACCACGTTCAGTTCGCTCACCACTAAGACGCGTCCAGGCCCCTTAACTAGTGAGCTCCACCACAGGCCCACATAGCAAGTTTCGACTACCAGACCATGCAATCGCCCTGGCCACCTTGGTCAGGCCCTGCTGTGCCCAAATCGTCACACCCCTCACACATGTCGTGGCCCCAGAAGGAGCTGCCGATCCTTCGGCCGAGCTTCCTTACCGTATTCACAGCTGCATAAAGTTGGGTCATTCGCCATGCTGGTTTTCAAAAATGGCTTTGGCCTGCCGAGGGCGTCCGTGGAGCCCTCTTGCGCAGTGTTGGGTCCTCTTGGACGCCTCTTGGCGCTGTCTTGGGCGCTCGTGGGGGCCTCCGGAGCCGTCGGGAGGCCGTCGCGGGCCGTCCTGGAGCGCCCTCGAGAGCCCCAGGATGGCTCCCAGGGGTCTCTTGGAAGCACGGGATGGCGGTACCGAGGACGTGCTGCAGATATTCATGAAGTGCAGGTCGGAGCCGTGGGGGGAGGGGGGCGCACCATGTGTGTATGTGTATATATATATATGTATTATATGTACATATATAAAACAAATATATATATATATATATATATATATATATATATATGTATGCACACACGCTCATGCGTGCCTCTACCTATATAATCGACCTATATACTCAAACATGTAATACAACATGCTAATAATATTACTAATGCTCGTATTCTTATTATTCGGCGACTACCACTACGATTACCACTACTACAACTGGTACTACTACTACTACTACTACTACTACTACTACTACTACTACTGTTGCTGCTGATGCTGCTGCTACTAGTACTACTACTACTACGGCTACTACAGCTACTACGACTACTACGACTACTACGACTACTGCTACTACTACTACTACTACTACTGGCACTACTACTACTACTACTACTACTACTACTACTACTACTACTACTACTACGACTACTACTACTACTACTGCTCCTGCTGCTGCTGCTACTACTTCTACGTCTACACTTCTTCTTCTACTACTACTACTACTACTACTAACACTACCACTCCTACTACTTCGACTACTTCTACTACTACTACTACTACTACTACTACTACTACTACTACGACTACTACTACTACTACTACTACTACTACGACTACTGCTGCTACTACTACTATACACATATATGCTCGTTATCCTACTCCTCCTCCTACTACTACTACCACTACAACTAGTACGACCACTACAACTACTACGACGACGACTACGACTACGGCCACGACTACGACTACGACCACGACGCCTACTACTACTACTACTACTACTACTACTGCTACTGCTACTGCTACTGCTACTACTACTACTACTACTACTACTACTACTACTACTACTAATACTACTACTACTACTACTACTACTACTAC